TACATGCTTGACCACGTATACAACACATAGTTTTTGAATTTAAAACACCAGCAGGAAAGGAATTGTGTTGAGTGGACTTGACCCCAGAACAGGAGAGTGTGCCACCCCATAGTGATGTAAAACTAGTAGGTGGGGTCAGGTTAGAAGCTGTTAAATCTGAATGGATTTCTGATTCTCGTGGCTGAATACAGACTTGAGCATTAAATCTGTCTTTCAGTCCAGTGCTGTGTGTGGTTGTATGATTCTCTTCAAATTCAAACCTTAAAATATCGGTGAACTTTCTATTTGGTTGTGAACACATAAGAAAGTAACTGAACATGCTATATCTTTTCAGCGTGATGTGCCAAATGTTCATAAGAATTCCACAACCCTCTCGTTGCTGACTGGTCAGTGCTCGTAAATGGTATCCATCTGTGCAAAGCACTTCCAGTCCCTATGGTTTTTTTTACCTCTATAACCATTGTGGTCTCTGATGGTTTGATAATCTCTTTTCAGATTTTTTGGTTTTTCACCGACACTGCGATTGAAGTCCTGATTAGCCATAATCTCAGACACCTCAAAATACACTTTTGTCATTGCGCATGACTCTAGTGCTCTTTGTGTCTGTCAGTGAGCACACAAATTAGCTCACTTTGTCATTGGTCCAACGCACTTGTACATGTTCATTTGTTGCCTTTTTTAAAATCAAAGACCCATTTTCCATTTTCATGACAGCTAATACCGAACTTCTGTTTGTTGCGCTATTGTTTCCTTTTTTATTAAAATAAAGAGCAGGCAGCTAGATAATGAAATCTATAATAATATATTAAATCATATACCATGTTTCTGGGCCTAAGGTTTACAAGAGAAACACTGCCTCTGCAAATCACCAAAAAGTCAAGAGACTAAACTTATTATATCACCTCACATTATTTAGTCTGGCGACTTGTTGCTGCATCTGCAGTGAAGCAGGCACTGTACCGGTCTGTCGTGGTAAAGCAAGAGCTGAGCCAGAAGGCGAAGCTCTTGGTTTACCGGTCGGTCTACGTTCCTACCCTTATCTATGGTCACGAGCTTGGGTAGTGACAGAAAGAATGAGATTGCAAATACAAGCGGCCAAAATGAGTTTCCTTCACAGGGTGTCTGGACTCTCCCTTAGAGATAGGGTGAGAAGCTCAATCATCCAGGAGGGACTCAGAGTAGAGCCACTGCTCCTCCACGTCGAGAGGAGCCAGTTGAGGTGGCTCGAACATCTGTTAGGATGCCTCTTGGACGCCTCCCTGGTGAGGTGTTCCAGGCATATCCCACTGGGAGGAGGCCCAGAGGAAGACCCAGGACACGCTGGAGGGACTATGTTTCTCGGCTGGCCTGGGAAGGCCTTGGGATTGCCCCGGAGGAGCTGGCCCATGTGGCTGGGGAGAGGGAAGTCTGGGTCTCTCTGCTTAGGCTGCTGCCCCTACAATCTGACTCTCGAGAAGCGGAAGAAAATGGACGGATGAATGTACATTATTTAAATTTATTAGAGAGAAATACATTTACAATAAGGGTGCCAAAGTACAAAAGCTTATCCTGTCTGTCTACATTCCTGAGCTTACTGAACAGTCTTTAACCGTTGATAGTTTCAATCAACAATGACGACTTGTAGAGAAAAAAAAGAAGAGACCCTTTTATCAATCAAAACTATAAGTACTAAAACAATATTAGTTTTCGTAGAAACTCAATTTTGTTTTTAAATTATGCTTTAAGCTAACAAACATGATGCACAGGAGTAAACAAAATAGCATGGGAGAAGCTAAAAATATTCCTAAATTAGACAGATCTTTGCTGCAGCTCTGCCACATTTAATTTGATTCCTTTCATTCATTTGGCTCTGATCCTTAAACAGCTCAGTGCTGCAGCTATTTGTTGTTGGTAAAACCACAGAGGACCAAAGTTTCCTTTTCCTTTTCTGTTACTCGTTTAATAATAACCTGCAGCATTCCTCTGAGCAGCAGATCACAAGCCAAAAGAAGCAACGTCTGCTGGGTCAGTGCGTCCGTATGTATGTGATTGAAGTTGTGTAACATATGCATGGTTAAGGTCCAACCTGTTAGTAAGTACAAGGCAGAGAGGTTCAGCTCAACTGCAGAACACCACTGACTGTGATATACAGTACATCAAGAGGTGTTTGAAAATGAAAATAATCTATTATGACTAAAAAACAAGAAGCTAAGCTCCAACTTGTTCAGCTGCTGCCTTTAATAAACTACGGACAGAATTTAAGCTATTTTAACTTGCTCTATAATTAGTTTGAGGCTAATCAACTTCGCATGGCTAATTGAAGCTGCAGATAATTGGCCTTGCTGGTAATGTTTTTGATGCCTGATTTACTGTGTGAATGTGACAAGAAACAAATGCTGATAAACATGTAATTATCCACACTTTGTAATCATTGTGTTTGGATTAAAATGTCCAAGTCCTGACCATTTTGTGTCCCAATGTTTTTGCTGTAGCACTTAAAGAACAAACTAACAGTCTGTATTTATTTTAAAATCTCTTATTTAGGTTTACTTTGATGTCATTTTCAGATCTTCTGACTTCTGAGGTAGATGAATGATTAAAAGTAAGATTTAAAAGACATTTGATTAATCACTTTTGTCATGTGACAACCACTTTGGCAGATAAATATTAGAGTTGATTGTTTACTTTCAATCTTGGAATATCTGTACCACCCTGCAGTTGACACATGAAGTGAGAGGCGTCAATTCTAGTAGGTGTTCTAAGATGAAGGTGATGGTAAATTCCCACATTGCCGCTTGTGACTTCATCTGAGTTGATAATGAAAATCAAAAAAAGAACTAAAACCATTTAACAAGAACAGTGTGTTTTGTTTACAAAGAAACCATTTGTCTGATTATTATCTGGGCCCTTAAGGGTTAATGCTCCAGAATGGGACTGTATGTCTGACCTGCAGTGTGTGTGAGACAGAGGAGAGGAGCTCCATGTTTGAGTCCAGCAGGACCTGTTCAGCAGCTGATTCTGTCTGGATTTGAGTTTACAGACTACTCTGGTTACTTTTTTCAAAGTTGAGGGACATTACAGCTGCGCTGCTGATCAGTGCTATTTATAGAACATGAATGGACTCGCGGGAACCTGGTCGCAGGGGGGTCTGTGTTGGTGATTCTAAATTATTGATAAGGTAACAATGCTGTGGCTTCACCTGTCACATTTTATTTTAAAGAAAGAAAAAGTAGCTTGCAAAGCTGTCGCATCAGTGCTACGTGATTAAAAGCAGAGTTTTCATCGCAAGCGCGCACACACGTCTTCCTATCTTTGTGAGGACCACACACACGTCTTCCTACCTTTGTGAGGACCACACACAGCGCTCAGCCTCGCTCCTGCGCCGTCTTTTTTCCCCAAGTTTGGTGAGAGGTGGATATGGAGGGACGCAAAAAATAGCTCTGGACTTGATCTGGCCTTATTTAAATAAAAATGACTACATGTCGTGAAATTCTTAGATGGGGGGGGGCTTGTACAATGAACATGTCTTTTATGTTCAGAAACAGTGGTGGTTTTAAAGATTCTGGAATGTAAAAAGCTTGCTACATAATTAAACACAGATCATAACTAGGGCTGCCACGATTAGTAGATTAATCAACGACTAATCGATTATTAAAATAATCGAAGACTAATTTAATAATCGATTAATCTTTTTTTTTTTGTTCTTTACTTTGTTTTTCTCTCCAAACTGCTTGGACACCTTCCACTGCCACATCTGCCTTGACACACATATACAGTAGTGGTAACTGGGGTAGGCCGTGGACGTCACAAAACATTATACAGACAGGCTCTGGTATCATGGCTACCAAGCAATGGAGCTCAAAAGTGTGGGATCATTTTAAGAAAATGAAAGAGAAACCTGTACAATATCTGCAAGGCAGAACCTGCCTTCCACACCAATTATTTTTAGTTAGCATATAGCTAAAATCTAACGATGGTTATATAATAGCAGCTGCATTCTGGCGCGATACGCTGTATGTTTTATATTCAATTAACGTATGATCCGATTAGTCGACTAATCGAAAAAATAATCGATGATGCTTAATCGACTATAAAAATAATCGTTTGTGGCAGCTCTAATCATAACCATTAAAATCTGAGCTGTGCACAGAAAATTAAATTATGTAAAAACACACTTTGATAGTGTGGGCCAGTGATTCCCAACCAGGGGTACGTGTACCCCTTGAGGTACACCCTTTACACTGTCTAAAGACCTGAAACATTCCAGCACTTTCAGGACCTTGGAAAGTTCCTTCAACCCTTCATGCTGTTTAATTTCCTAAAACATGTCAGCACTTTCAGGACCTTGGACAGTTCCTTCAGCCCTTGACACTGTTTAAAGCAGTGATTCCCAACCAGGGGTATGTCAGCATATTACGGGGGTACGTGGAAAAATATCCCAGGTGTGTAAAAAATTAAAATAAAAATAGGACTGACACTTGTAGGGCCCTATGATTTCCGCAGTGCAGAAATGGCAGTCGGAATCACAGAATTAACTCAAAATGGAATCAGTGTAAAACGTGGAATCTTGTGGAATTTGCTCATTTGGGTGATTTTCTGACGTATTTTCGACAATCCAATGTAATTTGGACTATGCTGTTTTCTACACCTGTCATTACCCTGGTTTACTTACTTAATTACTTACTCACTTTCATGGCAATATTTTTATTTTTATGTTTAATTTGAGTTGAAAAAAATTAGAGTTAAACATTCTAGGGGGGTTAAATAAATAATTTTCATTTAATTTTTTCATTTTTATCAGTTGTTAGTATATTATAGTTTTGGAGAATCATCATTTTTTTTGACTGAAGGAGTACTAGTATGATAAAATGGTTCAGGGGTACACAAGTCTAAAAAGGTTGGGAACCACTGGTGTGCGCAATGCCCAAACCCCAAACTCCACCACTTCCCACCATGTCCCGTTGAACCTCAAAACAACAACAGTGAGATCTATACAGGCTTATACAGTATTGAATCTGTACCTCATGCCCTCTGTGGACTTGTTCTGATAGTTGCAGTACAGCTGTGGCGTACCCAGCATTGCTTCAGTGAACACAGCCAGGAAGCCCAGGGTCTCCACGAACAGCGCCGAGTCCAGGAGGAGGTAGGTGATGTAGGCCGCCACAAGGGTGAAGGCCAGTACGCACTGCAAGTAGTCCATGAAGCGACTCCATGACCAGAAGTAGTTCCAGTCAAAGTCTAGAGAGGCACAGCACAATGAAACCACAGATAAGAACAAAGAAATGTATATTTCCAATGGGGACAAAACAGGTATAAATGGCCAACATGAGTAGTGTGCAGCAATGGCAAAAGTTTATTATGAAATAATGGGTTCAGTTCTGAGGAATAGAGAAATATACTTAAAATGAAACAAGAACTGGCATGCAAACAGGAATTAATCTTGTCAAAGAAGTGATCATATGGAAAGGAGGACCAAATTTGGTCAAGGTAGAAACAAAAATAAATCACTACTGTGATTTTTTTTCTTTGGATTGACCCAAAAGTTCATTGTATTATCTTTGGAAATTTAGCCTTTTAATTTAAATGAAATTTGTTCCAATATAGTTGATGGATGTCAACTGAAATTATTTTGATCTGCAATTTAACTTCCATAAACTAGAAATTGCTGTCTATAATGTCACACAATGTCCACAAGTATTTTAGTCCAGTCCTTGAGAGCAAACTGCCCCAGCTCTGAGGTTTGAAGAGTTTATTCTACAGACTGCATGTTTCAGTTCCTTCCACAGATGTTCAGTAGGATTTAGATCAGTGCTTAGAATGCCACTTCAGAATCGTCCACTGTTTTGTTTGGAGCCATCCTGGTGGTTTTTAACTCTATTTGGGTCAAAACCCTGCTGAAAAACTCCTGACCGCATGAGACTGAGCTTCCTGCCAGCATAATGGATGGGTTTTTGAAAGGGCTCCCTCATAAATGCAAAGAAGTGAGGATTAAATGTGTCACTTTTGCTCAACAAAGCTTTTTTTCCTCTCAGGAAGTTGTTCATGTTCTTCAACCTATTTAGCACAGAAAAGCATTTTCTTTTTTTAAGATTTGATAGCAATGGTGAATATTGTCACAATTAAAAGAAGTTACACTTAAAATAACGACACTATAAAGGTAGTTTGCTATTTTATTTAGAAGATTAGCTTATTTTATGGAAACCTGGAATTTATTTCAGTATATTTTTATTAGTTCAATAGTTTCAAAAAGGATGAGGTGTTAAATAAACTGCACGATTGAACAAAATGTGGGAGTGGTGTGGGGTTAGACATTTTCTTTTAACGCTAAGGGGGATCTGACAGAAATCGTTTGGTAACCACTGGTTTAGCAGATCCCTATGGTTAAACTTTTTTTCATTTAATCTATTCTAGGGATACCACCGATTTTGTCAAGGCCAGTTTCATGATGTTGTGATTTTTTTATATTGTTTACCTAAAATTTAAAAGCAATGACTCATTTTCACATATTGTGTTTAGATAGTTTTTTTTATTTTATTCCTTTCAAGTTTTTTCAATCTGAGGGGTTTCCCTTCTTAAAAGGAAAAAAGGTACTAACTACGTTAAACAGATCTCTATAAACAAACAGTTTTAGTCGATTTAGTCATTAAATGGTTTTGTTGTTGGTAAGTAAGCAGTTGAGATTGAGAGTGGCAGTTTACTTAGGAAAAACGTACACAGTACACTCCTCCACAATCCCCATTCTCACACATAAGATTCACAATGGGGTTTCGTCTTACAACAAACTTGTATATTAAAAGGTAACTAATAACTTTGTACTTGTGAAATGTTTTCCAAATTCACATGAGAACTGAAAATTTTCACACCACCCCCACAATTCTCTCCATATATTCAGAAAAAAAACCACACAATATGTCACTGCTACAAATATCTGAATTTTGCTCCATTTGAGAATGTTCTCCTTAGAATGTCTGACATTTCTTATTGTGTCTTAGAAAAAATGGTTTTCTAAAGACAAGGTTGTGTAAAAGACCTAAAAAATGAGTAACAATAAGCCAAGACTAAAGTATTTTCCAGACTATAGTAATGAATTGGACTGGAAACTGAACACTGATTAAATATTTAAAATCCATTATCTGCCCCATCACCTCTTTTTCTCATTCTCTTTAAATTAAATAATTAAATTGTATTTATTATAAATTCTGGTTTGCTGTAATAAGAAACTGGCAATATACAGTGGCTTCAAAAATAGTTTTAGACTTCCATCACTTTTGCATTTTTCCATGTTGCAGCCTGATGCTACAATTGTTTCAATTTTTCTTTTAAATTAAAATCTGAAATATCACATATCGATATGCTTTATATTTTATGCTTTTTTAATAATCTCCTGAATAAAAAAACAGAAGCACATAATACATATTTTAACAATTAATTTTGCCAGCTGTATTAAATAC